TCCCTGGGATTTTAAAAAAAGATTTGCCCAGCCAAAAAAACCCCCCCCCCCCCCCCCCCCTCCCCAAAAAAAAAAAAAAAAAATCAGCATGTTGGCACAAAGTAGGTCAAGTGGCGGTGAAGGAACGACTGGTAGATTTAGAACTGCTGACTTGTCCATTTTAATATTTGATTTCGCGTCTTTTTTTTTTTTTGCGATCGTGCCAAGTGCACTCAGGAGTCTCAGGGTTGCAGCCCAGGTTGTAGCTTTTGGCTTTTGGCTTTTGGCCTTGGAAATTATCACATTGCAGAAATAAACAATAAATGGTATCTTGGAAAGATAAATAAAAATGGAGAATCATTGTCTTTTTTCCTGACCTTGGATCTTTCCAGGGTAAACCTCGCCCCGTGGCCACCTGGTACAAAGATGGCAATGCCCTGGAGGATCGAAGCGTGGGTACACGCACCAGCGAGGTGGACTCCATCCTCTTCATCCGCTCAGCCCAGAGGGTCCACTCGGGCACGTACACGCTGGCCGTGCAGATCGAGAACATGGAGGACCGCGCCAACATCCGCATCCAGGTCGTCGGTGAGTCGCGGGTTCATCACGCGCACGGGAAATGCGACGGCAGAGGAGCGCAAATCTCTTCAAAGGCGTGATCACGGACTCCTCATTCCCAACTTCCCAAAGTCATCAAAGTGGCACGTTAATCCTGACCGCCAGCTCATTCCCCATCTCTTCACAGGTCAGCGGGATTACGCCATAGGATTATTTGTGTGTAGACCGGGATTAGGTTCATACTTGACGCTTGAGAAGGTTGAGCTAATGAGAGGATGAGGACCCCCCCACCCCCACCCCAATCCCTGCTCTGAAGTCATCTTCCTAAAAAAGTACATGGCTGTCGTGTGTTTGTTGATGTAGAAAAGCCGGGCCCCCCCAAGGAGGTGCGCGTTATCGATGTTTGGGGCTTCAACGCCTCACTGGAGTGGAAGCCACCCAAAGACGATGGCAATGCAGAGATCATCGGCTATACAATTCAGAAGGCCGACATGAAGACCAAGGTGAGCCAAGGCAGCCATGTTGGAGTGGATGGCTTTTTAAAAATTTTTTTTTTTTTTTTTTATAATCATAATTTGGTGGCCCGTGCGAGAATGCGTTGATCCGTCTCAAATCACGCCAGGATTGGTTCACTGTGTACGAGCACAACCGGCGGCCCAACTGCACCGTGTCCGACCTGGTCATTGGTAACGAGTACTCCTTTCGAGTCTTCAGCGAGAACGTGTGCGGCCTGAGCGAGGAGCCTGGCGTCAGCAGCAGCACGGTGCTCATCTGCAAGACGGGTAAGTCAAACGCTAGGCTGAAAGGCTAAAGGTACCTGACAGTTACAGATAGCGAAGCACTTTTTCCAATCAAGAAGCATGGATTTGTCGAGTTTATGTATTTATTTATATCCTTGTATTTTTATTTATTTTTTTTTAGTTAATCAACGAATGAATGAATTTTCAATTTAACTGAAATTTGATTGAATTTATTTTTGAAAAAGTAAGGAGTTGAAAGTCCAGGTATCTGTTTTTGCAGTTGGAAAGTAAAAAGTCGCCAGAAAAATAAATACCAATGCAAGAACGTCGACGAAGGAAGTAGTGTCACCACTGTCTGACTTTCTCCAGGTTTGGACTGCAACCTTCCACCCTTCAAAGAGAAAGACCAGAGTGCTTGCCCAAAATTCACAGCACCCCTAGTGGACCGGAGTGTGGTGGCGGGCTACACAACGGCCATCAGCTGCGCCGTGCGCGGCTACCCCAAGGTACGCTCCTCTTTGACGCCGCGTGTTGGCATTCGCTCCAGTCGCGAGGAAGCCCTGCATCTCTTGCCACTGTAGCCCAAAATCATCTGGATGAAGAACAAGATGATCATCGGCGAGGACCCCAAATTCCTGATGCAGAACAACCAGGGCGTGCTGACGCTGAACATCCGCAAACCCAGCCTGTACGACGGCGGCCGCTACTCCTGCAAAGCCATCAACGCTCTCGGCGAGGACGAGGTGGAGTGCAAGCTGGAGGTCCGAGGTAGGACTACAATGTCGCTGGTCACTTTTTTCACGGAGGAGGATTAGTTTTGTTTCGGCCAATGAGGATCAACAGTGACTGAAAAGCCAACCAAAAAGACTTCAGTGTTGTAGTCAAGTTGTTGCTTGTTTAAAGCTATGAAAGTGTTTTGATTACTTTTAAATTCATATAAATTGAATATTTTATTTTAAGTGAAAAGTTTTGAATTTTAATTTAAAAAGCTTTTTCCAACTTTTAGATATTTTTCCATTTATAAAAAGATTTTTTTATTAATTTATTTAGTATGCTTGTTTGCATTTAATATTGGATTTTGAATTGAGATTTTTTGCTGTATATTTTTGCTTTTGAGGTAAAATCTGCATTTAAATGAACAGTATTTGATTTTTAAAAGCATTTCATTTTCGGATTTGTTTTTAATTTCTTATTCCTTTGAAGGGATTTGTTGATATACTTTATCGTCCAGTGTTTTTTTTTTTAATTATGATTTTTTAAATAATTTAATTATACATTTTAAAGTAATGGGTGGTTTTAATTTTATATCAGGGGCATTAAAAACGATTTTCAAAAGCATTTTTGTTGACAATTATAAAGGATACTCATTAAAAAAAAGGTAGTAATTTAAGAGGCTTTTTTGTTAAAAGTGCTTCGTTTACCTTGAAACATTCTGTGATAGCTTGCCCCAAAAAAATGCAAATGTAGTCACTATTTCCTAAATGAATATTGCAGTCGATTTTGTGATTGCATCACCTTTTTAGCTCATCCAGATAATAACGGCCATGCTGTCTTGAGCATTCATGAGTGGCTTGAGCTTTGCTTTTTGACATCATCAAACACTGGCTTCCTTCTTTGCCGTGACGTCATCTCGGTCGTCATTTTTCTCCCGCAGTGGTCAAGGAGAAGGAAGACGTGAAAAAATGAGGATGGATCCGACCGGACGACCCGCTGAGCAAATATGATTTCATGTGCCGTCAACTGTTAGTTTCACATCTTTGTTTGAGGATAAGGTCCTTGAAGTACATCTGCTGCTGTCATCTCTCTTTCTGCTCTTACTTGCGTTGCCACCGGCACTTCCTGTCACGTGGTGGTTGAATGTCGGGATCAAAAGTCAAGAATTAAATTAGAACAATTCTTCAAAGGCGGCAAAAGGACTTGATTTGACCTTGTTTCTCTTTGCTGTCGTCATCTGCGGAGGTTGAAAACAGTGACGATTCTGTTTTGACAAAGTAAGGCGTACAAAGTACAGATGTTCCTTTTCAAATGGAGTAAGGGAGTATAAGTACAAAGCCCTCAGAAAAACAAAAAAGTTCAGACAATTCAAAAAAATCTACACAGTGGTGACTTGAATTGAATTTGTTCCGTGACCCCATTCGTAACCCAAAACAGTCGTAAATTATTTTTTCCCAATTGAAATGAATGGAAATTACGTTATTCCGTTGCAGCCTGGAAAAAAAACCACAAACAAAAGTGATTTTGAAGATGAAAAATTGCACTCTAAAGTGTTGTACTTAATCAAAATGTACAGTATCAACATAATAGGACATACATTTTTTTAATGAATTACATTGAGCAGCTCCTTCTGTTTGGGATCAGGTTTAAAAAAAAAAATACTCAACTTCTGTATGTGAGACACTCACTAAACGTAGTTGGTTTGTCAGAGGATAAAGAATCTATGAGTACGATAATATTGCCTATCTCCACGTGTTGCTGCACTGTTTGTGTTCAGATACCTGTTGCCAAAAAGTGGTGCGACACCACGACGTTGATGCCATTGGCGTTAGCCTGTATATGTCATTTTGTATTGTGTGTTAGCATTAAGCTAGCAGACTTTTGTAAGATGGTGATCGAGTTTAATTAAATACGCAACATGTAATCCTCCTTGCTCCAATTTTGAAGTCAAGGGACCACTGGATCTGTACTTGCTTGCTTCCCACCACTTTCTTGCTTAGAAGCTAATAAAGCTATGATGCGCGCGCACACACACACACACGGTGTTGAGTGTTGACCCTTTGGTGCAAGCAGCGGGTATCGGGGTCTCATTAGGACGGAACACGAGATGCTCATTAAGGCACCCCGACAACAGCGGCCTAATTAGCCCTCGCTCTCTTTTTTTCTCCGCTCTTTCCCGCGTCACCACTAAGCAAACCAATTAAGCGCTAATTCGCGCGGCCGCAAAACAAACACGCCCCAGCCAAGAGGGAGGACGGTGAAACCCTAGCAGAGGTGACCGCTCCAACCAAAACAACCAAATCATGTTGGATCGTCGCTGAGAAGGGAACTAAATAAATATGCGGAAAAATTCAGATAATTTGAGATGTCCACAGCATCGCGTTGATGCTGTGGACACAAAGGGTTTAAAAATTCTTTTGGTGTTCAAATGCATATCTTGTTTTCAAAATAGACAATTTGTGCAATTTCAATAATTTATTTTTAAACCGATTTTAGTCCAAATTTTAGTTCTTTCATTGATTGCATTTTCTCAACCCCCAAAATGTGTTAGAATTCAATTTCCTGGAATTGCGATTTTTATTTTTACAGACAAAACTTATTTAAATGCTAAAGACAAAATTATATTGGATCCTAAAAACTGTTTTGACAACGTCGAAATGACAAACAGTGAACAAAATGTTGTTGAATGGCTGCACGGGAGACCTGCAGTGCAGCAACACTGCAAATGTTTTGTTTTTTTCCGCGCTTGTACCTCGGATGATTGACACATGAAAGTCCAACACACACACAAACACACGCACACACTCCTTGTGGGGTTTCAGGAGAAGAAGAACAGCATGTCACCACCTTAGCGTGCACACGTGCCAGTCGCGGATGCACGGTTGCTCGGCGACCGCATCTCTGTGTACGCGCACACGAACATCACTCCAGACTGAGGGCAACTTTCAACACACACCAAATTCCGATGACCTGCGCTCACAGACAATCACACACACACACACACACACACACACGCACACACACACACACACACTAACTTTCTCACATTGACACGTTTACAAGCACTCGCACACATTCAGAGGATTCAAAGGGTTACACACATTCAACAGGTTTTGCACAAATCACACAAGCACACACACACTGTCAGATAATCACAAACACACAAAATTCACACATACACGCTTCCACGTTTGTACTGTATGTATGTGTGTATGTGTGTGTGTGCATATACAGAACGTGTATATAAATACATAAATCTACATTGCAATACACACACACACACACACACACACACACACACACACACACACACACACACACACACACACACACACACATTCGTGCATGTTTGTTCTTCAAAGGCTTCTCTCACATCCGCCACTTAACGGTGATGTTTTCCTTCCGCGAGCAAACGCTGCGAAATGCCGCACACACTTTCATCTGCTTTTGTTTCAATAATGACATCACCATTATTACTTGCATCATGACTTCAAGCTTTGCTTTTCCGCGGCGCTGCTTATATTCCGTCCCTGACGGGCGGCTCCAAGGGGAAACTGGCTTCAGGTCTTTCTTTACATTCACACTATCAGGCCGATTTGACATTAGCAGCTAGAAAAACAACGTAGTTTCATTTTTCTTTTGAAGAAGAAAAAAAAAATCAAGACATTAAAAAAAAAAAAACAACAGTACTCTCGTAAGTATATGGTTGCAAAATTTGTAAGGCCATGGGGATGAAGCATACTTTTGTTGAAGGAGATGGGGGGAGTCATTTTTAGGTGTGCAGAAAATAAGTCAAAATAAGAAGGGGAAAAAAAGAGCATCTAAAATCATGTGAAACCAAATTGACATTTTTTCTCTTGTCGTATAATTCCAATTTTCTTTCGGGTGTTGCGGCAACATGATGATGTCGTCATGCGTCGGCGGCCTCCGCCAACAAGGGAGGACACGGCGAGGAAATGCGAGCGAACGAGGCATCAAGTGGAGTGTGGCACTTGTGTGAGAGCCTTTGGCTTGATTCAAATGGTTGCCGTGGTTTCCGGATGTTTCCATGGAAATGCTGCCTGCCAATAAAATGAATGCGAGAGAGAGCGGGCGGGCGAGTGGCGGCGGATCTTTGCAGCAGGTTGGCAGGACAGTGAGATGGGGGGAGACAATAGACGGGGGTAAACAAGTGAGCTGGTCACCATGGCAACGCAGCCGTTAAATCCATAGGAGTCTCCTGATCAACATGTCTAGTGTCCTTCATGGAAGATTTGCACATTTTTGTCCTTCCAAATGTCTTTAAATCCTGCCTTCCATGGTTCTTTCCGCCCGTCTCCTTCCATCCGTTGCCTGTCGTCTCTGAAGGACGGAAATGCTTCTGCGTTTCTCCGTCGCCACGGCAACACCGCAGCGAGCAGTGACCGCGGGAGAACGTGGGTAGGGGTGGGGTCGGGTGTGAGTCTGGGCCTGCGAATGATGCTCATGCCACTTCAGTCATCTAAGCTTTCAAAAAAACCCACAAAATTGAAATTTTCAAGAAAAGCAAGCCTATTTGTGTTTTGTGGAAAAAGTTGACATTAAAAAAAAAAAAAAAAAAAAAAAAAAAACACTTTTCAGACTACTTTGAAACCTAAACCCTGTGATACCTTAGTCGTTTTTTTGGCAAAAAACGCGTTGCGATACATGGTTGTTTTTTTCAGCCAAAAACACCTGACTATACATGGTTTTTTTTTGGGGGGGGGGGGCGGGATAAAACCGCCTGACTATAGATGGTAGTTTTTTCGGCCAAAAACGCCTTACTATACATGGTTGTTTTTTATCGGCCCAAAATGCCTACTATACATAGTCGTTATTTTCGGCTAAAAACGCCTTAATATACATGATGGTTTTTTTCAGCCAAAAACGCCTTACAATACATGGTCGTTTTTTTTTCGGCTAAAAACGCCTCGTTATACATGGTCGTTTTTTTCGGCCAAAAACGCCTAACTATACATGGTTGTTTTTTTTTGGCTAAAAACGCCTGACTATACATGGTCGGTTTTTTTGGCTAAAAACGCCTTACTATATATGGTCGTTTTTTATCGGCCCAAAACGCCTTACAATACATGGTCTTTTTTTTCGGCCAAAACCGCCTTACTAAACATGGTCGTTTTTTTATCGGACCAAAACGTCTGACTATACATGGTCGTTTTTTTCGGCCAAAAACGCCTTACTATACATGGTCGTTTTTTTCGGCTAAAAACGCCTTACTATACATGGTTGTTTTTTTCGGCTAAAAAAGCCTTACTATACATGGTCGTTTTTTTCGGCCAAAAACGCCTTATTATACATGGTCGTTTTGTTCAGCTAAAAACGCCTTACTATACATGGTCGTTTTTTTTCGGCTAAAAACGCCTTAATGTACATGGTTGTTTTTTTCGGCTGAAAACGCCTGACTATACATGGCCGTTTTTTTCGGCTAAAAACACCTTACTACACATGTTTGTTTTTTTCGGCCAAAAACGCCTTACTATACATGGTCGTTTTGTTACGCCTTACTATACATGGTTGTTTTTTTCGGCTAAAAACGCCTTACTACACTTGGTAGTTTTTTTCGGCTAAAAACGCCTAACTATACATGGTCGTTTTTTTCGCCCAAAAACGCCTGACTATACATGGTCGGTTTTTTCGGCTAAAAACGCCTTACTACATGGACGTTTTTTTCGGCCAAAAACGCCTTACTATCCATGGTCGTTTTTTATCGGCCCAAAACGCCTTACTATACATGGTCTTTTTTTTTTCGGCCAAAACCGCCTAACTAAACATGGTCGTTTTTTATTGGACCAAAACGCCTTACGATACATGGTCGTTTTTTTTCAGCCAAAAAAACCTTACTATACATGGTCGTTTTTTTATCGGCCCAAAACGCCTTACGATACATGGTTGTTTTTTTTGGCTAAAAACGCCTTACTATACTTGGTCATTTTTTTCGGCCCCAAACGCCTTACTATACATGGTCGTTTTTTTCGCACAAAAACGCCTTACTATACATGGTCATTTTTTTCGCCCAAAAACGCCTGACTATACATGGTCGTTTTTTATCGGCCCCAAACGCCTTACTATACATGGTCGTTTTTCATCGGCCCCAAACGCCTTACTATCATGGTTGTTTTTTTCGGCTAAATACGCCTTACTATACATGGTTGTTTTTTTCGGCTAAAAACGCCTTACTATACATGGTCGTTTTGTTCGGCTAAAAACGCCTTACTATACATGGTCGTTTTTACGCCTTATTATACATGGTCGTTTTTTTCGGCTAAAAACGCCTTAATGTACATGGTTGTTTTTTTCGGCTAAATACGCCTTACTATACATGGTTGTTTTTTTTGGCTAAAAACGCCTGACTATACATGGTCGTTTTTTTCGGCTAAAAACACCTTACTACACATGTTTGTTTTTTTCGGCCAAAAACGGCTTACTATACATGGTCGTTTTGTTCGGCTAAAAACGCCTTACTATACATGGTCGTTTTTTATCGGCCCAAAACGCCTTACTATACATGGTCGTTTTTTTCGGCTAAAAACGCCTTAATGTACATGGTTGTTTTTTATGGCCAAAAACTCCTTACTATACATGGTCGTTTTTTATCGGCCCAAAACGCCTTACTATACATGGTCGTTTTGTTCGCCCAAAAACGCCTTCCTATACATGGTTGTTTTTTTCGGCTAAAAACGCCTTACTATACATGGTCGTTTTTTTCGGCTAAAAACACCTTACTATACATGGTCGTTTTTTTCGGCTAAAAACACCTTACTATACATGGTCGTTTTTTATCGGCCCAAAACGCTTTACTATCCATGGTCGTTTTTTATCGGCCCAAAACGCCTTACAATACATGGTCTTTTTTTTCGGCCAAAACCGCCTTACTAAACATGGTCGTTTTTTATCGGACCAAAATGCCTTACGATACATGGTCGTTTTTTTTCGGCCAAAAACGCCTTACTATACATGGTCGTTTTTTATCGGCCCCAAACGCCTTACTATACGTGGACGTTTTGTTCGGCTAAAAAGGCCTTACTATACATGGTCGGTTTATTTCGGCCCAAAACGCCTTCCTATACATGGTCGTTTTTTTTGCACAAAAACGCCTTACTAGACATGGTCGTTTTTTATCGGCCCCAAACGCCTTACTATACGTGGACGTTTTGTTCGGCTAAAAAGGCCTTACTATACATGGTCGGTTTATTTCGGCCCAAAACGCCTTCCTATACATGGTCGTTTTTTTTGCACAAAAACGCCTTACTAGACATGGTCGTTTTTTATCGGCCCCAAACGCCTTACTATACGTGGACGTTTTGTTCGGCTAAAAAGGCCTTACT